GTATCTCACCAAAAATGAAATTTTTTTGCAGTGGAAGCCTAAAATATGACTTCTATCTTAGTGCAGCCTTCTGGGAAAATCCGTGAGCAATACACAAGCAGGAAATAATTTTTCTAGGGAAGTTTTGTACACCAACTGTGTACAGAAGGCCTCCAGGTTGCCATAGTGCATTGAATTACAGAAAACAGCTGCAGATTGAAAAGGAAATGAAATTTTTAATAACTTTCAATTACAACATGGCTTGTGTAGCAATTGTATATGCTATATTTTTTGTCCATCCCCCATATTGCATGTAATCCAGACAGCCATCAGAACAATGCACATCTAGATGGGGATCCCTAATGACATTCTTGATGTAGTTTCTGGCATTCTGCCACTGCCCGTCATGCCTAGATGCTTGATTTTATACACCTGTGGCCACGGAGGTGATTGGAACACCTGAATCCAATGATTTGGAGGGGTGTCCTAAATACTTTTGGCAAGTGTTTGTAAAGAAAATAAAAATAAATAAATTATATATATATATATTTACTTATTTGTTTTAAACATACACTTTATATTACATTTTACAAATTCCATTTGCAATTTAAAGGCTTTACACTAACTTTTTCATTTAAATTAGCTCACTATGTTTTATTTTTTTTTTTTTTTTCTTCAAAACCACCAGAATAAAAATGGTGCTTCTTTTAAACCATAGCAATTTGTAGTGTTCTATGGTTGTATGTAATGTGTACAGAACGCTCCCATAAATGTAATTCACTTAGAAGTCATTTTGAGGGAAGTACTGCAACGGCCAATCATTCTATCTATATGAGATTCAGAATACTTTATAAAATTTTCCTTCGGTATTAATAAACAGAAACAGGTAAGGGAAGTTTGTTCAAATCCTTTCAAAGTAGATTACTGACCTTTAAGTGTATGTAAACACTAACACTAACCTTCTCTTATATGTTTCCCTTTTGATGCATTAAACATACTACCAAATTTTGTATATTTTGATAAATTGAAAAACAAATACAGATTGATCTTGACAGAAATCAAAAGAGCCCATAAGTTTCTGCGCACTCTGCTACTGCTGCATTAAAGTGTTACTAAACCCACAAAAGTAAAATCAGTTCGCATATGAAGTAAAGCATGCTGGTAATAATTACTGTGGAACCTAAAGGGTTAATCTTCCGCATTGTGTAAAATGGCTGTTTGATCCTGTCTTCTCTGACTTCTTCCACAGTCCCCAATCCATCTGTCATAGTTAGAACAGCAGTGGTAATTCTGTACATGCCCTATTTGGTGTGTATTGCTAGAGTTTTTTTTTCTTTTCGCAAAGGTGCATGTGATCAGCACAGTGCCAATCAGCACTGACCAGACAGAGCATAAGGGGGTTATACAGCCTGATGGGACAGTAAGAGGAGAATGAAAAACTCCTCCACAAGATTAACTAGTGCTTGGCTGTACACTGATAGAAGTCACAAGACTGCTATATACTGCTGATGAGAAAAGGTATTTAGCAGTTTATATGTACTAAAAAATAATTGCATTTCCATGTTCTGTGTACTGTGGAAGACTGGATATAGTGAATGCAGGATCCTGGGTTTAGTAACACTTTAAAACAAAAAAACTCAAGCAGTGTTATCAGGGCTGCCCAGTTCACTTTTCAATTACAGAAGACCCCCCATGCTATAAAGTTGAGGAGAGAAGGTGTTTTGTAGTCCATAAACATGTACTGTCTTATAAAAATGAGAAGTGCAGCACTATGGTCACTATATAGGTTTTTATACTACCTAATTGTGTTAGCTGCGTTGTATTATCAGTCAGCGTGGATATTGTTTATTTTATTTTATATGTACTGTACAGGGGCGGGCTGACAACTAATGGGGCCCCCGGGCAATAGGGGACCATGGGGCCCCTGTGTCCTCTCCCACAATCAAACCACACCCAAAAAATCCTATGAAAGGTACCAGGGGCATCTCATGGGGTCCCCTACTGACCCCGGGCCCTCGGGCAGTACCCGAGTTCCCAAATGGTCAGTCCGCCCCTGGTACTGTCTTATGAAGACAATGCTCCTCCTTCATAAATATAGTGCATTTAGTGATCACGTACATACTAAGAGAGTAAGCAGGTTACTCACAGGACCACCAGGTGGTCCCCACACACGTTTACTTGCTTGAATTCTCTGACACGTATGCCCTGTGAGTAGACAGTGCTGTGTAACACATTTCACAGAGCCTGCCTTCTGAACTACAGAGGTGCTGAGAGGAGGAACTTTAGGAGTCAGTAAAGGAAGCAGTGCTTGCAGGCAACAAGGTACCATAGGATATGGAGTCCTTAGAAACTGAAAATAATTACAGCAGAGAAGAAGCTGTAGAGCAACGGTGCTCAACCTTTTGAAGAGAGAGGGCCACTTAAGTGACTTGGTAACTGGTAGTGGGCCACAATGAAATGAAAGGGTTTAGAATTTCGAATTTTTTATTCTGAATAGCATAATGAACATTGTCCTCCTGCAGCTGCTGAATGCCAGGAGCATTGGGAGAGGTCACCATGGTGACCCCTGATGCTACACCAGTGGTTGTGGGGGGTGTCGTATAAACACATCTCAACTATGGGGTTTTTCTGCCCGGCAAACCGCCAATGTAAACAAACCCTTCCTATCCTGAGCCCCCTATAAGGCTGCTTTCACACTGATGTGCTACAGTTTACCCGCAGCTTGAGTGCAGCTTTCCTGCGGGTTAGCTGCACTTTGCCATAGACTTCTATTATATTTTGTGGGTGTGGTGCACATTCTGAAAGTGCACCAAAACTCCTGCACTGCATTGCACCTGCAGATCAGTGTGAAAGCAGCCTAATAGTTGTTAACCCTTTCATAGGTGCTAATATGCACATTGCAAAAACTCAGTGTATGCAGTGGTGTATTTACTTCTTGTGCTGCCCTAGGCAACAAAGAGCCAACCCCATCACCCCCCTCCCCTGGCATCACCACCTTCTGCCACCAACGACTGCAGCAACCAGTACACAGCTAGACATAGGAGCATATAGAGTGGGTCACCCTGGGCTCCTCCAGTCTATGGGATCCATTCACGGTATACAGGTCACAGCCATCCCACCCCCTAAGTGTGATCACTACTGGATCAGATCAAATGATCTCTGCCAGGAAATCCATATCATCCTTGCTAGTGCTCACCCAGACAGAGGAATTTGGGGGATTCAAGGAAGGAAGCAGCTAATGGAGGAATAAGAGAGCCGACTGAACTATTCCCCCTTCAGTCTGCATTCAACAATACTGGAGGAGGGGGCATAGAGCCTCTGGTGGGACATCCAGCCTCCACCAAGGACTGATCACAAAGGAGCAGCTGTGACATTTCAGTTTCACGCACATATACAATGTAATGTGATCTCACTGATGAGCAATGATCATTGCAAAGCACTGGAGGATTGCACACACAGTCTGACCCCATATGTCACTCGTCACACAGACAGGAGCCCGGCATGTGCTTCCACCGCTGGCTATCCAACACTCACCATAATGCAACAAGAAGCCAGCCCATCATCATTACCCTCCCTCTCCCTCTAACACTATTCTGCTGTCATCACCATCGGCCCCCACTTCTCCCCCCCCCCTCCTCAGTCTCAAATCTGGGTGGAAGAGCCCACTGTGATAGTGTGATAGGGAGGGGGCAGGCAGTGGCAGACCAGATCTGAGCAGAGATGAGGGGTCATGGTCTCCAATACAACAGACACCGCCCATCATTTATATGTAAGAATGACAAGCCGGAAGCTGGGGCAGGAGGGAGACCAGCAGAGGAAGGGAACCATTAACCCCCTGACCAGCACTGAGCACTCAACACTGCTCATTCCTTAACTACTGTCTGAATCCAGCTGCCACCTCCCAAATGACTAACCTTAACAGCTGCCAGCTATCCCCACACCCTCCTCAGATCCTCGGCAGTGCCTCACCAGTTCCCTTCTTTCAGAGTGCGGGCACCACTCCCCTGCCTTGTTTGCCTCCCAGTAAATACACTGCTGCGTGTGCGTGTTGTTTAATACACTGACCTTTTCCACTTCCAGCTTCTGCTGGCATTACTCTCCAGGCTGTTAGAAAGGTCCCAGCCAAAGTGCATTTGGTATCACTTCATCTAACAGGAGCTGGCGCTACAGAGGAAGCATTGGCTTATACAGCTTCCTGCTGTCTCCGCGGCTGCCTGCTCTGCTTCCTCTACGGCCAGGGCAGACTTGATGCACTCTGATGCTCTGGGATGGCGGGTTGGCAAGCCAAGATTGCATTCAACGGGTTGTTGACTCCAGACATGCGCTTTCCTAGTTTGAGGTCGAGGGCCTCATTAGAGGGCTTCAGGGCCACAGGTTGAGCATCCCTGCTGTAGGGCATGCAGGGAATCCAGTAAATTGTGGAAAGAGATGGCCAGCATACAGAAAGAACTCACAACATGAAAAAAGATTTTTTTGGTAATATTGTATTGTCAAAAATACTATTGTTTGTATTGCACTTCCAATGCTGATGGTATAAAGTGAAGGAAAAGGACTGCCTTTATGTTTAAGCTTTAATGACAAATACACACCTTTTATTCAGTTTACACGTAATCCCAGTACAAGAATTAAAACATGTACTATAGTATATTAGAAACTAAACTTTTTTGTTAGCTGACCAAAAACGTAACTATAAAAAAAGGTTAAATGTTCACATTATAGAACCAGCAGAAGCAATGCTTTACAAAGTAGCTGAATAACAGTGAAGCATAGTGACATCTAGTGGTAGATTTGGAAGTTACCATGTGACATATGGACACACTGTAACTGTCTTCCCAAACAATGGCAGAAGTGGCACGCCAATGATAGGATAAATCAAAAACATCACAGAAATAGCAAGTATTACTCCTCTTACTCTAGGAAAGGAGTAACTGATAATCTATCAATAGATAAAACATTAATATGACGCAGACAAATACAGCTTGTATGTGCCAAGACCTAATCAAGACTCCAATTCATCTTACCTGGTTACATGTATCAGCTAAGGAATGGATAGCTTCGGAAAACATACTAGCAGAGCCAGTGTACACCCAGGCCAAAAGTTTAAAGAAAAAGTTTAGTCCATTTCTGTATTCAGAGAGAACAAAGAAATACACGAATCAGAATTTTTCATAGAACTTGGCAGCAAAAAGGACTTAATTTACCATATGCTAGGCATGGAACACAATAATATACCTAGTGATGATCTAAAAATAACAAACAAACCTGTTCAGTTTATAAATGGTTTTTATTCTTTTTTTCTAACTTATTCTTCACCCTCTAACCATCTGTCATTATTACTAATGCCTCCTGCTGAGGAAATAAGGCATTGCATAGGCTTTGTCACAAAACATGAACAAAGAAGATTCTGACCAGCAAAATTCTTTCAACCACTGATTATATACACACAGCAGTGGGATGAAGGTAATGCTGCTGCTTATGTAGAGCTATTCAGTTAAAGAGAGGGGTCAGAAGGGGTGAATTAATATTTGATGGTTGTTTATATACCTTGTAAATAGAAATTGTTTTGATCTTAAAGCAGCACTCCAGTCAAAACATTTAGCTTTGTATAGTGTGGGAAAGAGTCATAGTGATATTAAACCCCAAGTTTATAGAGGTTTACGTTTATAAAATTAAATAAATGAATGCCCATTTTCAGGCTCTTGAAGACACTCAGTACAGCTGTCTGCCCGTACCTCAAACAGCAGTTACTAAAGCGCAGGAAAAGGAACAAACTACAAGGGTTCTCATCAGTACCCTAGCAGTTCATTGAGAACTACAAGCTGTCTGGCACAGTTACAGACAGGACTTGTGATTCATTCTTTTACAGATCCGTGTGAATGAATGACACGGCTGTGTGGGCGGACACCCACACAGCTGTGCTCATTTTAAATTGAGACAGCAGGTGCAGGGAGAGTATCACCCGCCTGCTGTCACAGGGGAGGATCTGGGGGAGAGGGGGGCTGCTGCATTAGTAACATGTTACAACCTAAATACAAGCGTAACATGTAACTAAAGGTGACCTTATCCTTTAAGTACTCTCCACAGCTGATTTAAACATCATGTACTGAATATGAAGGGGTTTCATCTTTTATTCCTTCTTTATGTTTCCATTTAAGCTGGTGTTATGTTTCTGCCCCAGGTTTCTTGCTAGTCCCTGCATGAAAGGGTGGCTCCATAGAATGCTTCAAGAGTTGCGTCACCATACACTGTGTGCATCAAGTGAAACACCCAGCCCCATAGCCTTGGGTGGCAAGGCACTCCCCTGCTCCTTCATCCCTTCTCCAATCTAAAAGGCTGACTGGAGACTGGAAGTTCAAAGAAGCAGAGAAAAAGAAAGTGAGAAAGAAGGAGCCAGCAGCATTGAAAGTTGATGGGGAAGGAATTCTAACAAACAGGGATGCTTATTTTATTGTGCTCAATGTGTTAAGCTATTCAAGCTTCCACCCCCATCCTTCCTTTTCTTCCTCCTGCTTTTTGCAGACTCTCAGACTTTTTTTCCTCAAGCCTTCAGTTTCCTCGAGTTACGTATTCTATTCAAGGCATACGGAGGTGCCCAGATTTAGGACTTCCACCCTCCATGGCTCAGAGAGTTTACCACAGTACAAGAAATCTGATACTCCTGTACACAGTCAACTATTCAATAACCCTAACTAAGGATTTCCCATCTGACTCCTGAATAAATATGTCGGCATACATATCGATATTATTTACAGGGTGTCACACAAGTTTTTGATTGCTTCCCTTGCTTGAAAATGATCACGCTGACGCCATTATACATTACCAATTATTTGCACCGAGGTCTAGTTGCTGTATATTGAACAATATACATATGAATGTGCTGCTGTATTTATTGTTCCCATTAGAATAGATCTTCACTCACTTCCAGTGCCAATAACTACCTGTACCCAGCACACAAACGGAGTTGAGATTTACCGATCTTCCCCACTCTATACACAACCAAAAGAGTATATGAAATTTCAAAACAACAGAAGAAGGGTTTTTTTGTGTTGTTTTTGTGTTGTTTTTAACAAACACCAACACCCCAGTCGCACTGGGTGCACTTGGCATACAATTTCTATGCCATGTGACTTGCAAATCGTATGCCAAGTCGCACCCTATTGTCTGCAATTACAGCGGTCAAATCGGTGCGGTTCTGACTTGGTTGGAGCTGCACTGATTTCTAAAGTAGTACATGTCATGCGATTTGCATAGACATCTGTGTCAGATGTCTTGCAAATTGCACCTGAAATTGGCAGTCCCCTGACTTTGAAATCGTGACACTTCACTGTCGGGCTTGATGTGAACGGGGTGCAAGTCATCTATACATAAATGTTTTCATAGAAAAATTACAAACTTTCACCCAAGATTCACAGTGTAAAGCACTTATAAACAGCTCCCATAACTTACATGCATATTGCAACCATAACAACTTTCCCTGGGCCCTTGAGAAACACGGAGGATGTGCTTAAACGAGGCTGCAAGAAAACATAGATAAGAAGTGTCACAAACTCCTCTCCTCATTATTCGTCACATATAATTTACAAGAGGTTAATCTATGAACTTTGAAGCTAATAAATGAAGGGTGTGTTAAAGAGGAACTTCACCCCTTTTCTTATTTTTTTTAAGCCCCTTTACTTTAACTAGTTTGCCATTATTAAAACACACGCACGCACGCAGCCAATCAGCTGCTCAACGTTGCTGTTGATCACCCAGTCTGCGCCACCATCTTCCCATTTTACATCTTGGAGCGGCCTATAATTTCCTGGTATTTTCAGCTCCCTGATGATGTTCATGCATTGCAGTACTGCATCATGGGTAAACCTCAAGGACCAGGAAGAGACAGCTGACCCCGATTGCCGTTAAAAATTCTGAGAGTGATGTGGGGGGGGGGCTGTAACATTACTTCCACCGTGGGGAAAAATCTGGATTTGCAGGGAGTTAAATAAATACATGATTATGTGAAAGGAGGGGGAATGAGTGCAATTAAGTGGGCAAAGGTCCGCTTTAAGTTCAATATTTCCTTCATGCCACTTAAGGAGCAAAACTGATATTCTTTAATGTAGAGGTTACAGTAATCTTTGCAATCCATTGATACTGCAGACTATTAGACCTACAAATGTGCTGTCTAAAGTATTACCTCGTATACAATAAAAGTTTAGGGTAATGACCTGTGATATTTTACAATAATGAAGCAATAAATTAGATTTATGCATTTCCTTTTCCTTTTTAAATGCTCATTTACAACTGGAGGGCCTTTAAAGTGTACACCGTATTATACAGTGGGGAAAATTATTATTTGACCCCCTGCAGATTTTGTAAGTTTTCCCACTTGCGAATAAATGAAGGGTCAATAATTTTTTTCATCATAGGTGTATTTTAAATGATAGAGTTGCAGTTCAGTGAGTAAAATAAGTATTTGATCCCCCAACCAACCAACAATAATTCTGGCTCCCACAGACTGGCTATGTGCTTATGTGGTACACAGATTAGTACTGCCAATATAAGAAGGTGCTCCCAACAACAACTTGTTATGTGTATAAAAGACACCTGTCCGCAGAATCTTTCTTCCATTCAAACGTCACCAACATGGACAAATGACCAAAAACGTGTCAAAGGACGTCATGGACAAGATTGTAGCCCTGCACAAGGCTTGAATGGCTACACGATCATCAGCAAGAAGCTTGGTGAGAAGGAGACAACTGTTGGAGCGATTATTCGCGATGGAAGAAATACAAAATAACTATCACTAGCCCTCGGTCTAGAGCTCCATGCAGGATTTCGCCTCATGGGGTAAGGATGACCATCAGAAAAGTGAGGGATCAGCACAGAACTACACGGGAAGAGCTTGTGAATGATCTCAAGGCACTTGGGACCACAGTCACCAAACTATTGGTAACACAATACGCTACATGACAATGACCAAAAACATACCGCCAAGGCAACAAAGAAGTGGCTCAAGAAGAAGCACATTAAGGTCATAGAGTGGCCTAGCCAGTCTCCACACCTTAATCCTACAGAAAATGTATGGAGGGAGCTGAAACTTCGAGTTGCCAAGCAACAGCCAAGAAACCTTAAGGATTTAGAAGGTTCTGTAAAGAGTGGCCCAAAATCCCTCCTGAGATATGTGCAAACCTGGTAACCAACTACATGAAACAACTTACCTCTGTGCTTGCCAACAAGGGTTTCTCGACCAAGTACTAAGTCATGCTTTGCTTGGGGATCAAATATTTATTTTACTCACTGAACTACAACTCAGTGTATAACATTTGTATCATGTATTTTTGGTTGATATTCTGTCTCAATCATTTTAAATACACCTATGATAAACATTATAGACCCTTCATTTCTTTGTAAGTGGGCAAACTTACACAATCTACAGAGGATCAAATAATTATTTTCCCACTGTATTTTCAATGGTGGTTTTGTAGGATCTCAAGAGGGAAATCTCCTTGCCAGTGTTCCCAACGGTCAGAAGCCAGCAGATAACTCAATCCACAACAGTTATTTTGTAAGTCTACTCAAAATTAACAAAACAAGTCACGCTAGCAATACTTGCAAATACAGAGGGACATTAAAAACAGTTTTTAAAATATCTTAGACAGTTCTAAGCCTTTCAACAAAAAACAAAATATATAGTCAGCACTCCCTACTAGTGTAAAAATAAGCAGCTTGCAAATACAGGTAAATATACACCACCCCCATTACAAGAACTCTAAATAAAATTGCAGCACTAGAAGGTCACATTAATAGTCCAAAAACAACACAGTCGCGTCAACTTGATATATCAAAAATTTGTTCATAGTCCCTCTGTGCAATATATGTGTAGTTGTACTCGATTTCCTCTAATAAAAATCGGACTATCCACCCCTGGAAATCAGAAGAATTGCCAACTCACCACAAATATATGCTGCCCTGATATAAAGTGTAGCATCAGCATTTTAATTAATCATCACAAGACCATCCATCTGCTTGTGTGGCTCCTGGGGGACTACTCTACTCCTTCCTCTTTTGCAGTATGAGACTTGTATCGATGCAACACCAAAAACAAATACAATTATATAGTGTAGTACTCTTATGTGAAATAGAGCTCAACACCCGTGCATAAGTGATACTCCATGATACAGTGTGTGTACAAAACTCCACCACCCAGATAATATTCGTGCTCACTTCCAATGTGTGCTGCTCATGAGATGTGTAGCAGATAACGCATCAGAACAAATTGGAGCGCTGGCATCAAACTTTTGTCTCACCAACTTTAATCACATCTCCATAGAGGGCACTGTTCCACTCTTGCCGTCAGACACCATCACAAGGCAACAAAAATAAAACGCAATATAGTGTAGTTTTATTACGAACCAAAGAAGTAGCAGCACAGTGAAGTCACATAAAATCAATAACTCCCGAGGATGCACATTTGTGAGAAACGTGTTGGGTGTACTGTAAGGTGAGTTATTGCACCGCCACATTGGTTTTCGGAGTGGCGATGTGTAATGTAAGTCAGAACAGCTTTTTTTATTATTGATTTGATATGACTTCACTGTGCTGATACTGGTTAGGTTCATAATAAATAATACACTATATGGAGTTTTATTTTGGCTGCCTTGTGGTGTTGTTTGACAGCGAGAGTGGAACAGTGCCCTCTATGGAGATGTCATTAAATTTGGTGGGAGAGAAAAGATTGATGCCAGCGCTCCAATTTGTTCTCATGTGTTATCTGCTCCACACCTAATGAGCAGCACACATTGGTGGTGAGTGTGCATTTTATGTGGGTGGTGGAGTTTTGTACACACACTGTATCATAGAGTGTCGTTTATGTATGGGTGTTGAGCTCTATTACACATAAGAGTACTACACTATAGAACGTTTATTTGTTTTTGGTGTCATATTGATACAAGTCTCATACTGTAAAGGAGGAAGGAGTGGAGTAGTCCCCCCAGGTGTCACACAAGCAGATGGATGGTCTTGTGATGGTTAATTAAAATGCTGATGCTGCACTGTATATCAGGGGAGCATATATTTGTGGTGAGTTGGAAATTCTTCTGATTTCCAGGGGTGGATAGTCTGATTTTTACTGGAGGAAATCAAGTACACCAACACATACAGTTGTGTTCAAAATAATAGCAGTCAGACAGACATCACTAACCTGATCAATCACTGTTTTTGGTAGAAATGATATTTCTACATGGCAAATAATTTACTAGCAGGTGTAGTAGAGTAATAGAAATCCAACAGACCCAACAGTCATGACATGCATGCTGCTGATTCTGTGTAATTGAATCACTAATTGAAAGGGGCATGTTCAAAATAATAGCAGTGTGGAGTTCTATTAGTGAGGTCATTCATTCTTTGAAAAACAGGTGGCAATTATTGCCCTTATTTAAGGAAGGAAGGCAGCAAATGTTGTACATGCTGGTTACAGTGCATTTCTCTCTAAAATTCTGAGGAAAATGGGTTGTTCCAGACATTGTTCAGAAGAACAGTGTACCTTGATTAAAAAGTTGATTGGAGAGGGGAAAACATATAAAGAAGTGCAGAAAATGATAGGCTGCTCAGCTAAAATGATCGCAAATGCTTTAAAATGGCAACCAAAACCTGAAAGACGTGGAAGAAAGCGAAAAACTACCATTCGAATGGATAGAAGAATAGCCAAAATGGCAAGGGCTCAGCCAACAATCAGCTCCAGGAAGATCAAAGAAGGTCTAAAGTTACCTGTGAGTACTGTTACAATTAGAAGACGCCTATGTGAAGCCAATCTATCTGCAAGAAGCCCCCGCAAAGTCCCACTGTTGAAAAAAAGATGTGCTGAAGAGGTTACAGTTTGCTAAAGAGCACATTGACTGGCCTAAAGAGAAATGTCGCAACATTTTGTGGACTGATGAAAGTAAGATTGTTCTTTTTGGGTCTAGTGGCCGGAGACAGTTTGTCAGACGACCCCCAAACACTGAATTCAAGCCACAGTACACTGTGAAGACAGTGAAGCATGGTTGCGCAAGCATCATGATATGGGGATGTTTCTCATACTACGGTGTTGGGCCTATTTATCGCATACCAGGGAATCAGTTTGAATACATCAGAATACTTGAAGAGGTCATGCTGCCTTATGCTGAAGAGGAAATGCCCTTGAAATGGGTGTTCCAACAAGACAACGACCCCAAAAACACCAGTAAACGTGCAACATCTTGGTTCCAGACAAGATTGACGTTATGGAGTGGTCAGCCCAATCCCCGGATCTTAATTCAATAGAAAACTTGTGGGGTGACATCAAAAATGCAGTTTCTGAGGCAAAACCAAGAAATAGAGAAGAACTGTGGAATGTAGTCCAATCATCCTGGGCTGGAATACCTGTTCACAGGTGCCAGAAGTTGGTTGACTCCATGCAACACAGATGTACAGCAGTTCTCAGAAACAGTGCTTATACAACTAAATATTAATTAAGTGACTCAAAGGAAAGCAAAATCTTCAAACATTTTTCAGTTTATGTAGTGAATGTTTGAGTTTGTAAAGAAGAATACAAACACTGCTATTTTTTTGAACAGTCTAATATTCACTTTTCTTCAATTTTTTTTAGAGGAACAACACAAATTTGATATATTTTTCTTCATGTTTTGATTTGGAATAGAATGTGTAGTGTTCCCAATGCATTTGTGTGTATGGAAATAAAAGCCATTAGAAGGATTTTGAGCTTTATTCACTTTTTTCAACACACTGCTATTATTTTGAACACAACTGTATATTGCACAGAGGGACTGCAAACATATTTTTGATATAGCAAGTTGATGGAACTGTCATTCTTGGACTATTAATGTGACCTTATAGCACTGACATTTTCATTCTAAGTCTTTGTCTTTTTGGACTTCCTTTATTAAACTATATATGAGTTAGATTTAACAGCTCAACCACAGATACATACCTTTGTATTTCCTAGAAATTCCTTGTATTCCTTTAATAGTTTCTGATTTCTAAACAGATCTGAAAGAAGGCAAAAAAAAAAACCTTGTATTCTCCGAGTAAATAATGCAGTAGACTTATATGAAGAAAAGGACCCATAAAAGAACCATTTATTAATGAAAGACACATCTCTCGCTGCATGAAAAAGAACGTACAATTAATCAATTTGCTGCATGACAGATGAAAAGTATATGAATGGATTTGTGCTCTTTAAAACAATGGCTGACATTTATAAAAATTGCAGCACAGAATTTTTGTAACTGCCAGCAATTAGCTTTTACACTTTGAAAGAAACTGCTGCATAATACGTTTAATTAAAGACATGTAAAAACATGTAAAAAAAAAAAAAAGAAGAAAAAAACCAGACTTGGTTAATATAAAAGGTGCCTGGGAGAAAGTGATGTCTTGTTAACCAGTTGCCGCCCGGTCTATAGCCAGATGGCGGCTGGGCGAACAGCTCGTCCCTCCAGGTGGACGCCATATGGCGTCCTTTTCGGAATGTGCATTGCGCATGCCCGCAGGGCCACGCTGTGGTGAGATCTGTCACTGGTCATGTACCTCGGACACGGCCAATGACAGGTCTGAGTACCGGCCCCATTGCCAGTACCATGTGATCTGCAGTGAACAAACACAGGTCACATGACAGCTATATACAATGGTTGGCTGCCTTTCATGCCATCCATTGTATACAAGTGTGTCTAGCTGTAAATGGTCACAGTGATCACATGCACAAGCTGGGCAAATCACAGTCCAGCTGTGTCATGTAATTAGCTGTGGCCAATCACAGCTAATCACAAAAAAAAAAAAAAACCCCTGCATGAATCGATTTCATTCAGGTAAATTTTTGCTTATAGAAAAGTAATTCTTTGCTATAAGCAAATTGTGTAAAAAAAAAAAGAAAAAAAAAATACTGATCATGTCCCCAAACTAGTACAATGTTACTATGGCAACATTATACTACTTTGGTCATAGTGCAATATGAAAAACAAATCTTAAAAAAACAGAACAAATTAAAAAAAAAAAAAAAAAATCAATTTTTTTTTTGTACTGTCACCAGTCAGTGTCCCTGATTGTGAAAAATCTTTAAATTTCTTAATTTTCCAAAAAAGTATGACAAAAAAATTACAACTTCAAAAAATTTGCCATGCCTCTTATGAAATACGTCGGAGTGTCTACTTTGCAAAAAACAGTCATTTGGGGGATATCTGTACTGTTCTGACATTTTTGGACCTCAAGAAATACAATTGGCTGTCAGTACTTTAGGATTGATCCATTTTCAGTTATATCCCATAGTTTGTGAACTCTATAACTTTCCTACAGACTAAATAATAAATACTAATTTGGGTTATTTTCACCAAAGACATGTAGCAGAATACATCTTGGCCTAAATTTATGAACAATAATTATTTATTTGCAAACTTTTATAAGAGAAACAAAGAAAAACGTGTTTTATTTTTCAAAATGTTCGGTCTTTTTTTGTTAATTTAGCAAAAAATAAAAACCCCAGTGGTGATTAAATACCACCAAAAGAAAGCTCTAGTCGTGTGAAGAAAATTATAAAATTTTAGTTTGGGTACAATGTTGTATGACTGCGCAATTGTCATCCAAAGTGAGACAGCGCTGAAACCTGAAAATTGGCCTGGGCAGGAAGGGGGTAAAAGTGCCCTGCATGGAAGCGGTTAAATAATACGGACCAAGACAATTTTCAGTCACCAAAAAGCATGAACTCCAGCATAAACTCTGGCTATACCACCACCATGTAAGGCAATCAAACAATTCATGCACTACCGGCTTCAAATAAGTTGAAGAGGCAAGGGAGAAAGGTTTGGCAAACGCTCTTTTGTTCGGAAGCCATTGTTAGCAAATATGACTTGACAGAACAGTGAATTATTATTATTTTAAGAATCAAACCCTTTTTAAATACATTCTACAGTCCAACTCCAGAAAAAGAGAACCCCTTCCCCCTTGCAGTGATGGACCTGAGCCCTCATCCCCCACCCTCCATGCAGCCCTATGCCTCTTCTTCACTACCCCTCTGCTATCCGCCATCTTCCATGTACAAAAAGACTTCTTTGTACTAAAAGGAAAGCCTAAGCCCAGAGCCCCTAACAGATATTCCAGGGAGAAAAACACTAGAGTATGAGTAGTCAGCTTGTCCAGAATTAAGAGGAACATATGAAGCTGATTTCTAACATACCCAAACTACAACATACTAATTTTAGGCAAGTTGTATTTATGAGTATTAATTTCAGTATTGAACAACTGCAATACTCTCGGTCAATCCAAAATGTTAATAAACCTCAAACCTGAATATTTAAGAACGTAAAAGTGAGTTTTTGGCTTTCTTAGGAGAATATCTATGTGTGCACAATTACTGGGCAACTATTAGTGTGCAGAATTATTAAACAACTAAATGAAAAAACAAAAAATGTTCCCATCTCACTTGTTTCTTTTCATCTGTTAAAGTGAGAAGATTAAACAAACAACTCCAACTTTACAAATAAACATTTCAAGAAACAAAAAAAAAAAAAATCAGTGACCAAAATAGCCACCTTTCTTTTCAGTAAGAACCAAAAGCCTTCCATTCATGAAATCTGTCAGTTTCTTGATCTGTTGACGATTAACTTTTTGTGCAGCAGCAACCACAGCCTCCCAGACACTGTTCAGAGAGGTGTACTGTTTTCCTTCACCGTAAATCTCCCGTTTACGAAGGGACCGCAAGTTCTTATTAGGGTTTAGGTCAGGTGAGGAAGGGGGCCATGTCATTGTTCTTTCATCTTTAAGGCCTTTACTGGCTAGCCACGCAGTGGAGTACTTTGATGCATGCAAAGAAGCATTTTTCTGCATAAATATGGTCTTCTTGAAAGATGCAGACTTTTTGCTGTTCCACTGCTTGAAGACAGTGTCTTCTAAAAACTGGCAGTAGGTTTGGGAGTTGATTTTGAGGCCACCTTCAACCTGAAACGATCCAGCTAGCTCCTCTTTAATAATATCAGTCCATACCAGTACCTCACATCCACCTTGCTTGTGTCTGAGTTGAAGTGGAGCTCTATGCCAGTTAATGATCCAGCCACGGGTCCATCAAGAATCACTCATCTCATAGTCTTCAGATATTTCTTGGCCTAGTCCTGATGTTTCAACCTATGTGTCTTATTCAGTGGTGGTTGGGTTTCAGCCTTCCTTACCTTGGCCATCTCTCTGAGCACTGAACACCTTCTACTTCTAGGCACTCCAGGTAGGTTGCAGTTCTGGAATATTACAGCACTGGAGGATAATGGGTTCCTGTTAGCTTCACATTTGATTCTTTGCAAATATTTGACAGTTAATTTTATCTCAACATGTTTCTTGCGCAACTATTGACTATTTGCCACAAAAAAATTGATGGTTCTGTGGTCACACCCCAATATCATAGCAATTTCAAGAGTGCTGCATTCCTCTGAAGGACTTTTTACAATTTTTTACTTTTCTCAGTGAATTCAAGTGTGGTACCATGATAGGTTGCCACCTCTGCAATATTCCACAGTCAACTGTTAGTGGTATTATAACAAAGAAGAAGCAACTGGAAACAACAGCAACTCAGCCAGAAAGTGGTAGGCCATGTAAAATGACAAAGCGGGGTTAGAGCATGCTGAAGCACACAGTGCACAGAAGAAGTCGCCAACTGTCTGCAGAGTCAATAGCTAAAGATCTCCAAACATTATGTGGCCTTCAGATTAGCACAACAACAGTGCGTAGAGAGCTTCATGGGATGGGTTTCCATGGCCGAGCAGCTGCATCCAAGCCTTACATCACCAAGCATAATGCAGTGGTGTAAAGCACGCGTCACTGGACTCTACAGCAGTGAACATGTTTTCTCTGGAGTGGGAGTGACAAATCACATTTCTCTGTCTGGTAATCCGATGGACATGTCTGGGTTTGGTGGTTGCAAGGAGAACAATACTTGCCTTATGGCATTGTGCTAAGTGTAAAGTTTGGTGGAGGGGAGATTATGGTGTGGGGTTGCTTTTCAGGGTTAGGGTTTGGGCTTGACCCCTTAGTTCCAGTGAAGGGAAATCTTAAGGCATGAGCATACCAAGACATTTTGGAAAATTTCATACTGCCAGCTTTGTGGGAACAGTTTGGGGACGGCCACTTCCTGTTCCAACATGACTGCGCAGCAATGCACAAAGTAAGGTCCATAAAGACATGAATGAGCGAGTTTGGGGTGGAGAAACTTAACCAGCCTGCACAAAGTCCCGACCTCATCCGGATAGGAAACCTTTGGGATGAATTAGAGCAGAGACTGTGAGCCAGGCCTTCTCATCCGACATTAGTGCCTAACCTCACAAATGCGCTTCTGGAAGAATGGTCAAACATTCCCATAGACACACTCCTAAACCTTGTGGGCAGCCTTCGCAGAAGAGTTGAAGCCGTTATAGCTGCAAAGGGTGTGCCAACTCAATATTGAACCCTACAGACTAAGACTGTGATACATACACACAGAGTGGGGAAAATAATTATTTGATTCCCTTCAGATTTTTTAAGTTTACCCACTTACAAAGAAATGAAGAGTCTATAATTTTTTATCAAAGGTGTATTTTAAAGGAGAGACAGAACATCAACCAAAAATCCTGAAAAAACACATGATACAAATGTTATAAATTTGAGTTGCAGTTCAGTGAGTAAAATAAGTATTCGATCCCCTACCAACAAACAATAATTCTGGCTCCCATGAGAAGGAGACAACTGTTGGAACGATTATTCACAAAAGGAAGAAATATAAAATAACCATCAATCTCCCTTGGTTTGGAGCTCAATGCAAGATTTTGCCTCATAGGTTAAGGATGATCATGAGAAAAGTGAGAGATAAGCCCAGAACTATACAGGAGGAGAATGTGAATGATCTCAAGGAAATTGGGACCACAGTCAGCAAACAAACTATTGGTAACACAATCCACCACCATGGACTGAAATCCTGCACCACCCAGAAGGTCCCCCTCCTCAAGAAAGCACATGTACAGGCCTTCAGAAGTTTGCCAGTGAAATGATTCAGAGATGGATTGGGAAAAAATTGCTGTGGTCAGATGAGATCAAAATTGAGCTCTTTGGCATTAACTCGACTTGTGTTTGGAGGAAGAAAAATACTGACTATGACCATAAGAACACCATCCCTACAGTTAAGCATGGAGGTGGAAACATTATGCTTTGGGGCTGTTTCTCTGGTAAAGGTACAGACCAACTTTTCTGCATTGAGGGGCCAATGGACAGGGCCATGTAATTTAATATCTTGGATCAGAATCTTCTTCCCTCAGCCAGAACACTGAAGATGGGTCTTGGATGGGTCTTCCAGAATGACAATGACCCAAAACATACTGCCAAGGCAACAGAGAAGTGGCTCAAGAAGAAGCAAATTAAGGTCATGGACTGGCCTAACCAATCCCCAGACTTTAATCCTATAGAAAAATTCATCCTGAGATGTGTGCAAACCTGGAAACCAACTACAAGAAATGTCTTACATCTTTGCTTGCCAACAAGGGGTTTTCCACCAAGTACTAAGTCATGTTTTGCTTGGGGAACAAATACCTATTATACTCACTGGACAGAAACTCAATTTAGAACATTTGCATCATGTGTTTTTTCTGGATTTTTGGTTGATATTCTATCTCTATCATTTAAAATACACCTATGATAAAAAAAATATAGACCCTTCATTTCTTTGTAAGTGTGAAAACTTACAAAATCTGCAGGGAATCAACTGATTATTTTCCCCATGGTGTGTGTATATATCTATCATGTAACAGCCCATCATATGTAATTTTGTGCCTATTGTGCTGGATACATAGGGAGTGCTTGACACGTTTCGGGATAAAGTCAAAGTAAAAATCCATCTCAGGTCACCCTGCAAGGAGGATCCCTCGCTGCAAACTCAGAGCCACCCAGGGGTTAAATAGGTTGTGACTGCTTATGATAAACTAAGTTACAGGACATATACACTGTGTATTACTGCTAGATAACTGATAAATGTTAGATGGGGACATTGCTACAAAGGCTTCCAAAAGATATCAGGATTTCAAATGTAAAATGTACAGTGGGACCATGGAGAATGAATGTAGCCACCCTCTAACAGGATGCAGGATCGGCAGAATAAAAAAAATATGGAGATTTGGAGGAAGCTGAAAACCATGAAAGATACTTTTTTGAGTGAACTTCTTGGCAAACACAATATACAGGGATATGGGAAATGGCAGTGATGTAGACACATACATACAGTTGAACTGGATGGACTGGTGTCTTTATTCAGCGTTACCAACTATGTAACTATGCATGTAAAAAAGGTAAATAGTGCCTTGCTTTGTAAAATGCAAGACACCACTTACTCATCGTTGCTACACAGGAGAGATCAGCTGCACACTAAAACACAGTATTTTATACTGTGGCTAGTGTGAGTGTGGCCCAAGTCTCTTTCTGTTGCAGATTTATGAGCAGTTTCTTTGAAGGACTACAATATAAATACATTTTATATATTACGAAAGTCCCAAAGTCCAGTGTTTTTATATGTATTTTTTATTTGCATTTTATTCTTCTTTTCACATCATTTTATTTTAGTTGACCATTTATTTCACCAGTGTTTGTTGTGAAACGGTACGCCATGGATTTATATACATCATCTTATTTTATGGGTTCATTCATTTCACCTCGGCTTGTTGTAAAACGGTACACCTTTTATAATAGCTGGTTTAACATGCTCAGTGACGTGAGTCACCATAAGGAAGGGGACCTTGAGAGGCCCTGAAACGCTGGCAGATTGACCTGTGTGACATTATGTATACAAAATATGTTGTGAAAACACAACTTTGGAATGCTGGTAACTTTTTATTTTATATCTGGCTATGCACAGTGCCATCCATTGCGGTCACAGCAAGGAATCCCAGAAGTTACATCTAGTCTAAGTGTCGCACAGCTCTGCATGGGATTTATTACTTTCAATCAATCAAACACTCCCGTTCATATGTGTGTCAAATAAATGACACTATGCTGATGGAGTAACATACAACTACAGGGAATGTTATTTGCCTAGAAAGATTTATTCACTAAACCAAATAATAAACGCTGCAGATCAGCAGAGCACTCAATTGTCTGTCATATAGCATACAGCTTATAATCGTGTTCTAAATTAGCTATAACTGAATTAAAAGCTTCTAAAAATTCAATTTACAGGGATGCTCCCGAGTATCAATGCTCAGCTAAACACTATGAACTATTCTTTTTAGAAGCTGGTGCTCATCACATGATAACAAGTGCCAATGTATTAACGGGTGTGGAAATTTTTTAAAAAACTACTTGTCCAAGGGACTTAATCAAGGTCCCAATCTACTTGTACTGATTGAAAAAAAAAAAAAAAAATCCCAGAATAGAAAATACAAAGGGTTTATTATTTTTATTTATTTTTTTTTTTAGGCAGAGGTGCTTTTAGGAATGTCTACGGCTTTTAAAAACAAAAAGGGGCTGTATGGCAACTTCAACTTTTAATGTTCTTAATTTTTGCTAGAACACTTCTTAGAACTCCCAAACGTTTTTTTTTTTTTAAGCAGAGGCCCTAAAGAATTAATTGGTGGGTTTTGCAATGTCTTTAATGTCACACGGCATTTGCACAGCAGTTTTTTTAAACACTATTTTTTTTTTTTTAAATACACAACCGATTTTTTTGGTAAAATATAAAAGATGATGTAATGCCAAGTAAACAGATACCAAACATGTCATGCTTTAAAATTGCACACGCCAATGCAAGGGCAACAAATGGCGTAAATTTTACTATCCATAGGTGACGCTTTAAAAGCTTTTACAGGATTTACACAGGAGGTCTGGTGCTAGAATTACTGCCCTCGATCTGACGTGCACATTGATACCTCAAGTGTGTGACACTCACTGTTTGCATGCATGCGGGACTGACACATGCATTCGTTTTTGCGCATGGGGACAGGGGTGCTTTAAAAATTTTTTTGTAAAATGAATAATTTATTTATTTTGACACTGTCGCTTTAATTTTTTTAAATTTCTTTTATTGCTGTAATGAGGAATGTAAGCATCCCCTGTGACAGCAAGAGGCAGTGATAGGTACTCTTTGTGGAGAGATCTGGGGTCCATAAGACCCCATATCCCTCCTCTGCCCTGAAAAGCATTTGATCACACCAAGATCAGTGGGATCAAATGCTTTCCATTTTTAAAATAGTGCCGTTTCCATCTGGTAAAATGATGTATGTTCATCACTCCCTGTTTCCTATATCATAGAGACAGACAGAGTGGTGTTGGTCTTTGTCTGCCTTTATGATCAGCCAACAGAAGCACTGCCTGGTTGTTCGGTTGTCCCGGATTGGACAGGCTCTGTCTCCCCTCCCAATGGATGGGACTCGGACAGTACAAGGCTGCAGATAACAATAACTGAATTATAAAAAACAAAAATTTAAAATGTAAATAAAAAAATTAATTAAATAAGTAAAATAAAAAATATATAATAATCTGCACATAATAATCAGATATTACCACCAAAAATAATAAGTATATACAAAAAATGTAAATAAAATAAATACAACAAAAATAACAATATTCAGATTCCAACAACAAAAATAAATGCAAATAGAAATAGAAAATAAAAATATCAAAATCAATGCAAATATAAATAAAACTAGATAGATTTTATAAAAATAAATTTAAAAAAATGTATTATATAAAATAATCTGCAGCTAACAATAATCAACACGATTAATTAAAAAAATAAAATAAAATACAAAATGTAAAAAATAAATAAAAGAAAAGATATATAAATTAAAAAAATGTTTTATTTATATATTTAATAAGTTTTTTATATATTTATTTAAAAAAAAAAAAAAAAAAAAAAGAAGTCCAGCCTCCCACTGGTCCAGTCCCCCTCCCCCACCGCCCACTGGCGGAGAGCGCAGCCAGTCAGAGCCAGGTGTTCGCCGTATGACCGCCTGGCCCCGATTGCCTTCTTAAGGAGAGCTGCTGGACACAGAGAACACCTGGCTCTGACTGGCAGCGCTCTCCGCTAATGCGCAACGCGGGGGGGGACTGGACCGAAGCGTGCCTTTGCCAAGCGGGAGGGGGGATTCACAGACGTCCAGACAGCCTGCAGTCACTTGGATCACTTTAGACCATTGGCAGGGCTAAATGTATAAAAAAAAAAAAAAAAACTTCTTCTTGCCCGGCGCCCGGAACAGCATGTCCCGGGCGTTGGGCAATAGGAATTCAACATCCCTGATTAAGTTGTACTGGATATTCATCTTACCATTGGTGATAAGCAACTCACTTTCTTTGTATGCAATCTCTTCTTCTTTTCTTAATTTTCTTTCCCTAAAAATGGCTTCAGGACTCCCCCAAACTTCCAAAGCCCTGTGGAAAGAATTTCCAAGTTCTCTTACATTGCTTATCAGCACAAAGCCACATACTAGTAACGTGCTATTTTTTCTACATAGCAGGAACATAAAATGTTTCATTGATGAACTTCCAGAGACTGTAAACCTATTTAAAGTTAAATAAAAAAACATGTCATACTTACTTTTACCGATCCTTCTTGGGGCACCCGCCGGCATTCCTGGCTTCTCCCCTCTGCTGAATGCCCACCACAGCAAGCCATTTTCTGTGGTGGGCACTCAGCAGGACACTGACACACAGAACATGGCTTGGCCCCACCCTCACTGACAGCAGCAAGAGCTATTGGCTCCCACTGCTGTCTCTGAGCCTGTGAGGAGGGAGAGAGCAGAGAGAGCCCATGCTCATGTGCACAGTGTTGTATCAAGATCGGGCTCAGGTAAGTATAAGGGGGGCTTGGGAACTGCACGTAGATGGTGTTTATCTTAGTGCAGAAAATGCATTAAAGTGTTACTAAACCCAGGATCCTGCATTCACTATATCTGGTCTCCCACAGTACACACAACATGGAAGTGTAATTATTTTAGTAAATATAAACTGCTAAATACCTTTTCTCATTAGCAGTATATAGCAATCTTGTGACTTCTATCAGTGTCCAGCAGAGCACTGGTTAAAGCTTGCAGGAGGAGTTTTCATTCTCTCACTGCCCAATGAGATTGCATAACCCCTGACCCTCTGACTGGACAGTGCTGATTGGAGGTGAGGAGGCAATTTAGCCGGTGTGGGATTCAACAATCATTTACCTATCCACGTTGTTTTTTTAAAATGCGTTTTTGTTGTACGTTTTTGCACATGGACTTTATGTCATATTTATGATTTTTTTTTAGTCACAAGTTATTTATTTCTTCATTGTGTTATTGTATTTTACGGTGCACAGTAATACATTCATTTGGTTTCACTGTGCATTTGTATCAACATATTCTGTTTTATACTAGTTGCACTCTATATATGTTTGCCACATTTATTTATGGTATTTATATGGTCACTTATTAATCGTTTTATGTCACATGGCCTTTTGATGCACATTGTGTTATGACTCTTTAATCGAATGGTCACAATTTTTGGCCTGTGTGTTGTTATTGTCATTCATCCACTTTTAATATTAAGCACTTCATTTTGTATTTTTCACATTTTGCTCCACTTTCTCATCAGTTGTTGTCACATTATTTCATTTATGTTATGATGGACTCATATGTCCCACTATTACTGTGATTTAGTTAATATTTTACTTTTCCCTGATCATTTCCGTACGGTCACGATTTATTGTCTGTTACACCTTTTGGTCCTCATTTTGGACCTTTATTGTTTCACCTTTCCCTTCACTCCCATATTCCTTCCATTTACTGATTATGTTATGGTGTATTATCTATTGTCTTCTCATCTCATTATTTGTTTGGAATGTCTGTGGCATTATTGTGATTAGCGCAACATCAATTTTCTGTTTGTTGTTTTTTGCTAGTGGTATAGCCAGGTGTGTGCTGCTGTCCCAATAGTCCCATCTTTTCTAGTAGCAGCGCGAAAAGTTTCTTACATACACACACAGAAACATGTACACACACAAACAGAGACACATGTACATACACACACACAAATATACATGTACATACACACAGACATATGTACATACACATGCATAGACCTGTACATACACACAGACACATGTTTATACATACACAGGTACATACATACACATGTACACACAGGCACATGTACACGCACACACACACATGTACACACACAAACATGTACACACACACAAACACATGTACAAATACACACATGTACACACACACACACACACACACACACACAAGTACATGCATACATAAACACACACAAACACACACAGATACACAGATACACACACAGCCCTATAAAAAGTTGCAGTACTTCGTTACCTTCACTCACGGAGCCAGGTACTGCACTCTAGGGGGAGGCAGAGAGCACAGCACACACTCCTTCCTTTGCTTTCACTTTGCTCAACCCTTGAGCAGTCTGACGGCTCCCAGTGCAAAGTGAGAGATCCGGCCCTGAGTTCAGAGCCTGCTCAGAAAGACGGCTCTGGGGACACACTCACCCCCACCATAATTTCCACTCACCAATGCGAGCAGGCGAGTGGGAATTTCAAGGCCTGATGTAAAGTCCTAACAAACAGTTGCTCATAACCAAGAAAAACTGTATAAAATATGGCAAAATCTAAACAACTCAGATGGAAGCTCCTTGCCCCAGAACTCGTTGGAGTCACAGAATTGCTGTTTCCAATCAGAGACTTCGAGCACATGTCTTTAGATCCCTGACAGATTCCCAACTTTGTTTGGTTTTGCTTATTCGCATTGATAGAGATGACAGCAGCGGATGCTCGATACAAAATGCTACTTATTTAACAGTGCCCCTACAGAGCTACAAGACAACAAAGGCAGTTACATTCTGATAATTGAAATGTTCGCTTGGCATCTCACAGCTATTCCTTTTACATGGTGAGTCACTTAAATTGGGTTCCTGCATATGTAAACCATTCAAGTCCCACACAAGATAAATAGTTTTTATTTGCATCACTTTCACTTACTTGGCCTCAACATCCGACCTTAGGAACACAGTAAAAGATTCAGTGTCGTCATGGGGACTTCTCCGTCTAATCTTCCGCAGTGGTTCCAGGTCACTGAGGCAAAAAAAGAATGCAAATGAAAGAAGATTAGAGGCTGATCAAGTTCAAAGCGCAGAACACAGACATTACTGCTGGCCAGGGGCTTTGTGTTCCTTCTGGTTCGCAGAACCCTCACAGCACATGTATATAACATAGTATTGCACTGAATACACTAACCCAAGGGAGCTAGACTGAAGTCGCCATCAATATTTTGAAACCTTAAACTACTCAGATCTTATTTTCAAAAGGTACCTGCAACAGAGAGCTTTATAGTGCTCAATTAAATCAGCTGCTTAGTGAATGGAGAATATGCCACTACTCAGGTGAATCAGCAATTAAAAATGATTTCATAGCTACTAGGAGTAGAACTGATGTAACAGAAATGCCTGCATATAAAAAAAAGCAGTGTTCTGTACCTCCCCATTCCATGTACCCAGATAATGGTACATTAGTTATATCGGATGAAGTATGGCCACATTACTCTTGTATTAAAGGAGGTATAGGGGGGGGGGGGGGAGAGAGAGAGAGAGAGAGAGAGAGAGAGAGAGAGAGAGAGAGAGAGAGAGAGAGAGAGAGAGAGAGGGGGGGGGGGGAATATTACCCCGGTACAAATCATTAGTACGAGCTCATCTGGAATATGCAGTTCAGTTTTGGGCATCAATTCACAAAAAGAACACTGGGGAACTGGAGAAAGGTACAGAGAAGGGAAACCAAACTGATAAGAGGCATGGAGGAGCTCAGCTATGAGGAAAGATTAGAGGAACTGAATTTATTCTCTCTTGAGAAGAGGAGATTAAGGGGGGATATGATCTCCATGTATAAATACATCAGTGGTTCATATAGTGAACTCGGTGTAGAGTTATTCACCCTGAGGTCATCACAGAGGACAAGGGGGCACTCTTTATGTCTGGAGGAAAAGAAATGTAATCTCCAAACACAGAAAGGTTTCTTCACAGTGAGAGCTGTTAAAATGTGGAATAGACTCCCTCAAGAGTTGGTTCTGGCCAGCTCAGTGGATTGCTTCAAAAAAGGCCTGGATTACTTCTAAGATACACAGAATATAACTGGATACTAACATCTGTAGGTAAAGTTGATCCAGGGAATATCCGATTGCCTCTCGGGGGATCAGGAAGGAATTCTTTTCCCCAGCAGGAGCAAATTGGATCATGCTTTGCTGGGTTTTATTTGCCTTCCTCTGGATCAACTGTGTGTATAGGGTTATAACTTTTTTTTTTCTATGGTTGAACTGGATGGACTTTGTTTTTTTCAGCCAGACTAACTATGTAACTATACACTAGAGAGTATTCTTGACAGAAACCCTGGTAATGGTTTGTAGAGTGATAGCCATTACACAGATTAATACGTCTCCTCCCACTATAGCTTAAGGCTGCAAACATACTATACGAATCGCTACATGGGTGGCCCTGTCGGCCACATAACTCCCAACATCCTTTGATTGAAATATTAAACGAAATCGAGCAGAAAACTAACCTGATAAACATTGACTGCATCCACACAGATGCAGCTGCTGTTCCAGTATTTTGACAGGTGCTGGTGTGTGACTGTAAGAATACCATAGCTGCAGCAGGAGATTTCTCCATCTGCACTGTGTAGTGGATGGGGAGCTCTGTTAGATTTTTTTCATTTTAGTTTAATGGACACATACAGTATCTCACAGAGATGAGTACCCCCCTCATATTTTATGCTATGTTTTCATGTGACAACACTGAAGAAATTACACTTTGCTACAATGTAGTGAGTGTACAGCTTGTATAACAGTGTAAATTTGTTGTCCCCTCAAAATAACTCAACACACAGCCATTAATTTCTAAACCACTGGCAACAAAATTGAGTACACCCCTAAGTGAAAATGTCCAAATTGGGCCCAAAGTGTCAATATTTAGTGTGGTCACTATTATTTTCCAGCACTGCCTTAACCCTCTTGGGCATGGAGTTCACCAGAGCTTCACAGGTTGCCACGGGACTCCTCTTCCACTCCTCCATGACGACACCACAGAGCTGGTGGATGTTAGATACCTTGCGCTCCTCCACCTTCCGTTTGAGGATGCCCCACAGATGCTCTATAGGGTTTAGGAGAGAGGGGGGGGGGGGGGAGAGAGAGAGAGGGGGAAGAGAGGGGGGGAGAAGGAGAGGGGGGGAGAAGGGGGGAGCACTCTATTTATGTGTGTGTGTATTAGGGAACGACCAGCGGTAGCCTCTAGCGCTCCACAGACCGGAATTCCCCAGGGCGCGGAATCTAAGCTCCAACCTACTTGTTCACCAGAGCCCCTGATGGTGGGGATGGACTTGGAGCAGGCCGAAACCAGGTCGCGGCCCCTGGGTGCAACCAGCTGTGGTAGAGGCACGTGTCGGTGGTACGCAGCAGGTGAGAGTCTGATGTGAAGAGGTGGAGTGAGCGAAGTCAGACAGGCCAGGTCGGTAACGGTGGAGGCAGAACGGTACAAGCGGCAGGCAGAAGGATAAAAGGGTCACAGGCCAGGTTCAGCAACAGGAGGTCAAACGTACAGGATAAGATAGCAGAGTGGTCAGACAAGCCAGGGATCAGAGCAGGAGACACTCAACGGATCAGGGTCAGGCAGGGTTGGCAACAAGGCAATCAGGATAACAGGAAAAGTCCATACGGCAACGTGAGCCCTACAGGAGCTGGTGCCCCGCGCCATCATTGGTGCCAGGCGCATGCGCGACCGCAATTGCCGCCGCGGTCGCCCCGGTCCTAGAGCCTGTATGTTCGTATGCCGGCGTACTCCGCGCATGCGCAGACCCGCACGCCGCGGCGCATTCCGTGATTCCTGACAGTGTGTTTGTATATGTATATATGTTATTCCTGCACAACAGCAGGTAAAGCTGTTGACTAACATAATCTAATAAAGGAGTTTTTGTTATTATTTAGGTAGTATTAAAGCTGAACTGCATGCAGATGTAAAAAGGCAAATAATTTGTGCAGCCCTGTAATCAATAATACGTCACTACATTTTTTTTTTTTTTTTTTTAATGTAAGCAGTGCAAGTAAGTAGATTTGACTCACTTTCACTTAAAATCTCCTCTACTGCAGTGCTCAGAGATGTGCTAATCTATATGTTGCTTCTCCTTTCCTACCCAATCACAATTTGGACAAAGGGGATGAAGAGGGGACATGTAAGTGAAAGATCATGTCCCTTCCCGTGCTAGACAGGACTGTGCTGTAAGGGAGAGCTGTGTAAATCTCAAAACTGGACAGAAATAGTGGTTTGCCTATAGTTTAGCTTTAGGAAAGCACGTTTGGCATCCTATTAGATGTTGACACTTGAAGCCTTAAAATTCCCACAAGTATAACCAAGAAGTAAGCACATCTAAAAGGGAAGCTCTTGCCCATGAAACTACTGTTTTGCAGCAATATCTGCCTCCTCTTAGGTTTTCTACTTTAACTGCTCAGCTGCCAGCCACAACTGTCTTAAGAAAGATTATAGGACAAAAAGAAATATGATAATTAATGAAGTAAAAGCGCAGTGGAACCAGCTGTAATGTCTATTCAATACCTGGGTTTAAGGCAGAATTCATTCATTGCTCGTACTCCTGTGATGAAGTTGTTCTTCATGTATTTTGTTCCATAATCTCTCTTTTTAAGAACCGCCTTAACTGAAACAGACAAATATGTAAAAACACAGAACGTTAAAAAAATGTAAAACTAAGTGTTTTTCAATTTCCAAATAAAAAAAAAAGAGGAATTTGTAATATTCATATTAAAGATAATCATCTAAAATAACCCAGATGACAAAACATTGACGCTGATGTTATTCCAGAGTCTATCTTATCTAGTCTTTTCCACTGCTGCCAGCCAAAGGTGTGGTTTATTAGAGCAGCCCAAATGGTTCCTCAATTCTCCAACCATTTGTCCTCCGCTAGTCTAACCAACATTGATACTGCTGACAACCCACCCCTTCTCAAACTGACCACCCACTCCTTCTCAAACATTCCCTTGGCCTCCAAGATTCTACTCTATACCCGTTTTCCTCTTATATATCACAACTCTTCTTCAGTGTTGCCTATAACTTTGTCTCCTCTTCTCCACTTCCTCTTTCTGTAGGGGTCTTCCAAGGCTCTGTTCTTCAACCCCTTCTCTTCTTTAGCTACACCTCCTCTCTACGTAAATTTGAGAACATCCCACAGCTTCCAATACCACCTCTATACCGATGACACCCAAATCTACCTCTCTACTCTACTTCAGTCTCCTCTCACATTACTGACATATCAACTTGGATGTACCACCACTTCCTTGAACTACATCTCTCTAAAACCAAGCTGATAATATTGCCCCCTGCTTGTGCTCTCCTACATGGCTTTTCCATCAAGATCAATAATACAACTATCAGTACCTATCAGCGTACTAGGTGTAATCCTAGACTCTGACCTAGCCTTTCAGCCCCAAGTCCAATTGCTGTCAAAAGCTTGTAGACTTCTTTTTCATAACATCTCTAAAACGCACCCTTTTTAAACTAATGAAACCACCAAGCTACTCATTCACTCCCTGGTTATCTCTCGTCTTGACTATTGTAACTCGCTTCTCATACGCCTACCTCTCCATAGGCTATCCTCTCTTCAGTCTATTACGAATGCTGCTGCCAAACTCATCTACCTTACCAACCACTTAGTTTCCGCCAACCCCCTCTGCCAAACCCTCCACTGGCTCCTGATTGCCAAACAAATTAAATTCAAAGTACTAACAACATACAAAGCCATTCACAACTCTGCGGGAGCTACATCACCAATCTTGTTTCCAAACTCACCAAAACCGTCCTCCCAAGTCCCACTGCTCTCAAGCCCTCTTGTCTCCTCCTCCCATGCTCTTCTTCAGGACTTCTCCAGAGCCTCCCCTATCCTCTGGAACTCTCTACCTCAATCTGTGCTGCTATCTCCTACGCTGGCCGCCTTTAGGTGATCTCTGAAAACTAATTTCTTCAAGAAAGCCTATCACACCTCCAACAACTGAACTTTTAACTCTTCCATCAGCTTATCCCCCACAGTTATTATCTTTTGTACCACTTGCCCCACCATATTAAACTGTAGGCTCTGAAAGCTCCTATGAGCAGTGCCATCTTAATCCTCTTGTATTGTAACTGTACTGTATCCCTTTGGATTGTAAAGCAAGGCACAAACTGCTGTAGCTATTTTTATTTTATATTATTTTATTATTATTATTATTATTATACAGGATTTATATACCGCAGAATTTATATAGCGCCAACAGTTCGCTCAGCACTTCACAATCTATAGGGAGATAATACAGCAACAATACAGTTCAATACAAGAGGGTTAGGAGGGCCCTGCTCCTCGGAGCTTACAATCTAAGACGGAGGGGCTAGTGGTACAAAAGGTAATAACTGTGGGGGATGGACTGGTAGGAGGAATAAAAGATTCAGTTATTAGCTGAAGGCAGGATAGGCTTCCCTGAAGAGAGGTTTTCAGGGATCGCCTAAATGTGGGCAGAATAGGTGATAGTCGGCTAGATTGGGGTAGAGAGTGCCAGAGGATGGGGGAAGCTCTGGAGAAGTGCTGGAGATGAGCAATGGAGGAAGAGACAAGGGAACTAGAGCAGGAGGTCATGGGAGGAGAGGAGAAGACGGTTTGGGTGATATTTGGAGACAAGATTGGTGATGTAATTTGGGGCAGAGTTATAAATGGCTTTATATGTTATTGTTAATGTTTTGAATTTTATTTGTTGGGCAATGGGAAGCCAGTGGAGGGATTGGCAGAGAGGGATGGCAGATACGGAACGGTTGGGAAGGTGGATGAGTCTGGCAGCAGCATTTATGTCAGACTGAAGAAGGGATAGCCTGCGATGAGGTAGGCCAATGAGAAGGGAGTTACAATAGTCAAATCGAGAGATAATCAGGGAGTAGTTAAGTTCCTTAGTGGTTTCAGTGGTTAAAAACGAGCGTATCTTGGAGATGTTGCGGAGGGTGAAGTCTACAAGATTTGGAGCTGAAAGGACAGATGGGAGTCCAGGATTACACCTAGTACCCTGGCATGAGAGGAGGGACTGATGGTTGTAGTATTGATCTTGATGGAGAAATCAGGGGAGGGGGCACGGGCTGGAGAGAATACTAAGAGCTCCATTTTAGAAAGATTTAGTTTGAGGAAGTGGAGTGACATCCATGCTGATATGTCACTTAGTAGGTTAGTAATGACCGAGGAGACTGAAGGGCCAAGGTGAGGAGTAGAAAGAAAGATTGTGTGTCATCAGCATAGAGATGGTACTTGAAACCATGGGAGTTTATCAAGTGACCAAGAGAGGAGGTGTAGATGGAGAAAAGAAGGGGTCCAAGGACAGAACCTTGAGGGACCCCTACAGAAAGAGGAAGTGAATATTAATAATAATAACAACACAACAACAACAGGGAACCAATGCTGGTAAAGCAATTGTAATTAACATTCATGTCCAGTATTATAGCATACATACAATAAGACTAAAAGTAACGTATTATTTAAAAAATATATATATTAAAAATTCGAGATGCAATATAAATTGAATGATGAAAAAAAAACGTCACTCTCTGTATAAAAACAATAGTGTGTGGGTGTCTGTATTAAAGGGTTAGTTCACCTTTGCCAAAAAACTGCATTTGCAAGTAAGACATGCCTGTAGATAAAAACAAACTGGGCAGCTTTGACTACAATTGGGTAATATCCTTGCTTATCCATATACATACTTCCCAAAGTCTGGCTAAAAAACTCCCAGCAATGGCAATCCCCCATGAGGCCTTGTTTCTAGGATGCTGCTAAGACACCCCCCACCTGTTTCTGCTCACTCCCACCATCACAGGAGTGAGCTCTCAAACCCCCAATCATGTTTCGTTCACCATCTAGTCAGCTGAAGCATCACTGAGCTCAGGGCTACTGCAAATGCAGAGAAAAAGCATGCAAGGGATTCTGAATCAGAGATAGAACTCATTCCTGTGATGGGTGAGCAGTAACAGATGGGAGTATCTTAGCAGTGTTCTAGCAACAAGCTAGGATAGAAGATGCTATCTCTGGTAGTTTTTTTGGGACAGGCTTTGGGAAGGGATGTAAATGGCCTACACCTAAAGCATCAAAAACACACACACTCCAATATCTGCTACTTCCAATTGTCACTGCAGACACAGTCAGCTTATGTCAGTATACGATGGAAATATTGGCAACACAACTACATCAGATCTAATAATTTATGACTATTTTAAGAAATATGAGTATCCCAATGTTCTATATCAGGAGTTCTAAGGGGAAGCTCTGTGCCAACAGGCTGCTTCCAGTTTTCCACTGGAGAGGAAAGAAGATCTGAAATACTGTTAGGAGACGCTTTCTAATAACTCAAATGACTGATACAATCCAACTAAGCTCACTCAATGATAGACTTCACCCTCTGTACAGATGATAATCACAAACCTTTGACTTGAATAGGATCGGAAGGTAGCATGCTCTTCTGTTCTGATTTGCTGGGATCCTGGCCTGTCAATACATAACATTCAATACATGTGAGCTTTAATAAAGTAACCTGTTCAGCATAATTTCTCTATCTTGTTTTAGATTTTGATCAATATTCTATTAGGACAATGGGGTTGATTTAGTAAAGGCAAATAGTCTGTGTGCTGCAAGTGCAGTTACTCCAGATCTGAGGGGAAGCTCTGCTGATTTCTATTATCCAATCATGTGCAAGCAAAAATGAAGTTTTTACTTTCATGCTTTCTGTGCATGAAGATAAACCACCTTTTGCGTTCAGCAGCCCCCCTGCCACCTAATACATACCTGAGCCCCATCTTGATGTGCACGAGAGCCTCAGCTCTCTGGGGACTCTCCCTCCTCATTGGCTGAGACAACAGCTGTCAATCACAGCTGGTGAGCAAATGAGAGCGAGGGGGTTGGTCCAAAACACAGCTTTGTGTGTGAATGGATATATAGAGCAGTGGCTCAGGAGAGAGCATTCTTGGGTGCCCCCATAGCAAGTTGCTTGCTCTGGGGGCACTTGGCAGAAAGCAGGGCCAATGAGCCCCTACGGAGGACCCAAGACGAGAAAGATCGGGGCTGCTCTGTGCTAAACCAGTAATCAGAGCAGGTAAGTATAGCATGTTTGTTATTTAAAAAGAAAAAAACTGCCTTTAATATCACTTTAAAGTAGAACTGGGCACGGATGGGGAGTAGGGCAGGTGCATGTGCTTGCCATACACCATCAAATGATCGTCCAACAAATGATTGACCAATCAGCCACAGCTCAAGGAATCCCTAGCAACCTCAGGAGGAACCCTAGGGTTCCACAAAATCATGGTTGAGAATAGTTGCATTACCGTAATAAAGGAAGGAAGGGCTTCCGTGGCTCTATGCATTATGTTGCCCCTGAATGGCTCCAACAGGAGTAAGGTTCCTTGCTAATAATAAAGCAGTCCAGAGGGGTGGCATGTGTATATTTGCATATTATGGCAAATGCTTCAGGGACTTAAAGCAGTTTAGTCTTCAAAACAGAAGTGATTTGCACATCTCACTTTCATCACAAGTCCAAATGGTAAGGGAGCGATTCTTAATTTTAGAACAGGTGGCAGAGTTCTCCTCCTAGACCAATTGTCCATACAAAACTTCTGGTTTACAGCACAAATACTGCCATATCTATTTGTAGCCAACTTGTAAGTATTAGAGTCCCCCTGGTGACCCTTGAGGTTGGAATTGCTGTATGTACCGTATATACTCGAGTATAAGCTGACCTGAATATAAGCCGAGGTACCTAATTTTACCACAAAAAAAACTGGGAAAAACTATGGACTCGAGTATAAGCCGCGGGTGGGAACACCAGTGGGAAGAATCGTGCCTTATCATTGGTGTCAGTGGGAGGAATAGTGCCCCATCATTGGTGTCAGTGGGAGGAATAGTGCCCCATCATTGGTGTCAGTGGGAGGAATAGTGCCCCATCATTGGTGTCAGTGGGAGGAATAGTGCCCCATCATTGGTGTCAGTGGGAGGAATAGTGCCCCATCATTGGTATCAGTGGGAGGAATAGCGCCCCATCATTGGTGTCAGTGGGGGAATAGCGCCCCATCATTGGTGTCAGTGGGAGGAATAGCGCCCCATCATTGGTGTCAGTGGGAGGAATAGTGCCCCATCATTGGTATCAGTGGCAGGAATAGTGCCCCATCATTAGTATCAGTGGGGGGAATAGCACCCCATTATTGGTGTCAGTGGAATAGTGCCCCATCATTGGTGTCAGTGGGAGGAATAGTATCCCATCATTGGTGTCAGTGGGGGGGTGGAGGAATAGTGCCCCATCATGGTGTCAGTGGGGGGGAGGAAAAGTGCCCCATCGTTGGTGTCAGTGGGGGAGGAGGAAAAGTGCCCATCGTTGGTGTCAGTGGGGGGGAGGAAGAGTAGTCCCATGATTGGTGTCAGTGGGGGGTGGAATAGTGCTCCATGACTGGTGTCAGTGGGGGGTGGAATAGTGCCCCATCATTGGTGTCAGTGGGGGGGAGGAATAGTGCCCAATCGTTGGTGTCAGTGGGGGGTGGAATAGTGCCCCATCATTGGTGTCAGTGGGGGGGGGGGGGGGGAATAGTGCCCAATCGTTGGTATCAGTGGGGGGGGGAGGAAAAGTGCCCCATCGTTGGTGTCAGTGGGAGGAATAACGCCCCATCATTGGTATCAGTGACACCAATGATGGGGCACTATTCCTCCCACTGACACTTGCTGACCCCTGTTCCAGTATGGTGCTGCTGCAGCCAGCATATATGGTTGCAGCAGCACCTAAGCACGGCACACTAACCTGCATCTCCTTCACTCGATTTTCGCGGGGCCGCTCAGCTCCGCCTCCTCGCCGGTGATTGGCCGCCTGTGTGCCTTTCCTGAGCTACAGTTCTGGCGGCCAATCACCGGTGAGAAGGGAGCCGAGCAGCCGCGCGAACATCCAGTGGACGAACCGAATGAAGGAGCAGCCGCGCTTCCTGGACCGGATCGTCGTGGGACCGGAGCCAGGTAAGAGACAGCAGCCCCTGCAGACGTTGACTCGAGTATAAGCCGAGGGGGCCGTTTTTCAGCACAAAAAATGTGCTGAAAAACTCGGCTTATACTCAAGTATATACGGTATTATGAGATATCTTTAATTATGCTACATACTTGATATTTTACCTTACAGATGTTATACATGCATCTCCTCCTGAAGAAGTGAACAAAGAGTCACGAAATGCATCGAGTTTTTGGATGCAATTTTAGTGTAATCATGTATCGACATCTGGATTGTATATGGTCAACAGTATATTTAATTATGTATGAAATGAATCAATATTTTTTTGTATGCAACGATAAATGTATTTTATAATTTTTTTAAAAAACAATGTTGGAAACTAAAAGAAAAAAAAAAATGGAAGATTTTTTTTTTTTATTTTCCTTTCATGTGATTAGGTATTCTTTGCAAAGTGAAGCTTTACCTCATTTACTAAACTCTGGAGCAAGTGCACTTGCAATGCATTTGCAGTGCGCAGTATATTTTGCTTTAATAAATCAACCCCAGTGAGTCTTCTTAAGTTAGTTTTACTTGAAGTCAGTTTGTCACTACTACAAATGTAAAATTCATAATACAAAATGATTTGCTTCAGGGTAGCATAGAAAACTGTCTGATTTGCACTGCTGGGCACATAACAATCATGCCCTGGTTTGGGGTTTGTGAAAGAACAAGAGTAAGAAACCACGATGGGATATCATATACACTTATGGGTTTTCAGTTATTTAAAAAAGTAACTCCACTTTTGTTTAGAAAAAAATATTCCCCTCTTGCTGATCTGTGTACAATGCAAGAATTTTAGCAAACTTTGTTACAGAAGCCTACCTTTTGGTATTCTGAAGAAGTAGCTGGAGTGATTTCATAATTTCCTATCAGCTCCTGCAGGGCTCGAATGAGGAAAACTGCAGGGTCTGCATCCCTTTAGATGTGATTTCCTTTGGGAGTAGCTCACCAAAATAACATTTTTGTTGCAGGGGATGCTCAAAAACTAACTTGCATCACAGTGCAGACTTCTGGGAAAATCAGCAAGCCAATTACTCAAGCAGGAAATGACATATCTAGGGGGCGTTCTGTACAACATTTGGAAAGGAAAGGTAGTTTTTAATAACATTCAATTACAATATGACTTGTGTTGCAATTGTATGCACTATATTATTTTTATTTTTTTGTTTGCTCATTTTTTCCCCACGAAAATGGAGTTACCTTTAACAATAGAGAATGTAGAAGTAGCTGTAAAACTCTGGGGAATGTAGTGCAGGCCTGAGTTGGGACATTTGGTGGAGATATTCACTGCTAGAGTTCTTGAGAGATAAGAGAAGACAATGATGCCATGATATCACTGTAAGAAACCAACCTGAGTTCAGCTGAAATGTTTCCATTTTCCTTTTATTTTTGAAGCCGAATGCATGAAGCAACAATATATATTTTAGAGGTATTTTAGCCCTTCTACTACTCTATATCCAGCCCTCGCAGGAAGATTATTAACATAGCACTATGTGGGCATATGTGGGTATAGGTCATTTTGAGAACTAAACAATTAATCTTAACCACGTATGCAGACAAAGGCACTGTCCATCCAAGGTTCCCAAATGTTGAAACTGCACCACTTACAGTGGGGATCGAAAGTTTGGGCACCCCAGCTAAAAATTTGTATTAATGTGCATAAAGAAGCCAAGGAAAGATGGAAAAATCTCCAAAAGGCATCAAAATTACAGATTAGACATTCTTATAATATGTCAACAAAAGTTAGATTTTATTTCCTTCATTTACACTTTCAAAATAACAGAAAACAAAGTTTTCAGGAACAGTGGAAGTTAAAGCAAGATCTGGAAGACCAAGAAAAATATCAGACAGAACAGCTCGCAGGATTGTGAGAAAAACAATTCAAAACCCACGTTTGACTGCACGATCCCTCCAGAAAGATCTGGCAGACACTGGAGTTGTGGTACACTATTCCACTATAAAGAGATACTTGTACAAATATGGTCTTCATGGAAGAGTCATCAGAAGAAAACCTCTTCTACGTCCTCACCACAAAAATCATTGTTTGAACTTTGCAAATGAACATATAGACAAGCCTGATGCATTTTGGAAACAAGTTCTGTGGACCGATGAGGTTAAAATTGAACTTTCTGGCCCGAATGAGCAAAGGTACGTTTGGAGAAGAAGGGGTACAGAATTTAATGAAAAGAACCTCTGTCCAACTGTTAAGCATGGGGTTGGATCAATCATGCTTTGGGGTTGTGTTGCAGCCAGTGGCATAGGGAACATCTCACGAGTAGAAGGAAAAAATGGATTCAAAAAAATTTCAGCAAATTTTGGATGGAAACTTGATGCCTTCTGTGAAAAAGCTGAAGTTAAAGAGAGGATGGCTTCTACAAATGGATAATGATCCTAAACACACCTCGAAATCCACGGGGGATTACATCAAGAGGCGTAAACTGAAGGTTTTGCCATGGCCTTCACAATCTCCTGACCTCAACATAATTGAAAATCT